TCTCTCTCTCTCTCTCTCTCTCTCTCTCCTCTGTTCCTCTCCCTCCTCTCTTTCTCCTCTCTTGCCCCCTCCTTCCTCTCTCCCTCTCTACTTTCTATCTCTCCTCTATCTCCTCCTCCTCCCTCTCTCCTCTCCCTCTCTCCTCTCCCCCTCTCTCCTCTCTCTCTTCCCTCATTCTCTCTTCTCCTCCCTCTGTTCTTCTCTCCTGTCTTTCTTCCTCCCTTTCCTTTCCTTCTTCATCTCTCTCCTCTCTTCTTTCCCTCTCTTCCCCTCTCCTCTCTCTTCTCTCTCCTCCCCTCTCTCCCTTCTCTCTCCCTCTTTCCTCCCCCTCTCTCTCCTCCTGCTCCTCTGTCTCTGTTCTGTCTTCACTCTTTCCCCGCTCCCCACGCCTCTCCCCTCCCCTCTCTTTTCTCCCTCACGCTCATCTCTCTTCAATGTTTTCACTCTCTTCTTTCTCGCATCCTCTCCTCTGGCTCGCGCTATTCTTCCCCGTGTCTGGCTCTCCTTTGCCGTTCCACTTTCTCCTGTTTTCCCTTTCTCCACTCTGCTTTCTCTCTCCTCTCCCGCCGCCCGTGTCTTCTCCCTCCCTTTCCTTCTCTCTCTCTCTCTCTCTCCCTCCCTCCCTCCCTCCCTCCCTCCTTCTCTCTTTCTCCCTCCCTCCTTTCTCTCTCCTGTCTCCTCTCCTTTCTCCCCCTCTCTTTTCTCCCTCCCCTCTGTCTTCTCTCTCTCCCTCCCTCCCTCTCTCCTCTCTCTTCTCTCTCCCTCTCCTTCCTCTGCAGCATAGTGGCTTTAGATGGACATAAGCTGCCACAATCGCCGCCAGCCCCAGTAAACACACGCAGTAGAACCACACCAGCCCGAACTAAGCCTCCCCTAATTATGCTTTACGGATTCTCAGCCCTTTCCAAGCCGCCTGGCATTCCAACTTGACCAGGTCCCTATATCTCCACTGTCAACTCCCTTCTCCTCAAGAGTCTGCAGTTTGTGACCCCCATTCTCTATGAACCCTACTCCTCCCACCCCGGCTCCTGTGGAAGTTTCTCATGGTTAGGTCGTAGTCCTCTCCCCGAGGCAGGCGCACTTCTGGGTCCCATCTCCCGGGTAACTTTGTTGCTCCGTTTACCACGAGGTGTCGCGGTTTACAGCTTGGCCTCCTGTCACCCCCTTAGCTACGGTGTGAGGTGTGGGCGCCTGTTGTGTGCTCCAGACCGTCCCAGTGTGCTGGGCACCTAACATTTGATGTCAGGAGGCTGTAGGTGGGTCCTTGGTAGGGCGACCTGTGCGCACTCGCTGTGTGCCAGGTGTCCTGCTAGGCGTTTTGGGAGAGCAAGAAGAGTCGGGGTCGCCTTTCTAGGTTCTCGAGTGGAGAGGCTTCAGGGAACGGGAGTGGGGGGACTAGGCTGACTTCCGAGAGTGGGTCGAGATGTGAAGATCACAGGTGAGGTTGCCAGAGACCCTGAGATAGCGCGCTGATCCCATCCCAGCCCCGCGGGCGCGCAGACACCTTAGGAAGCTGGCGAGGCGCCTCAGGGAGAGGCGGCAGCCGGAGCGTGGGGGGTGGCAGCACCCGAGGAGCTGCGGGGGTGAGCGGGGTGTGAGCCGGGAGCGCGGGCGACAGATGTCCGCGTGGGCCCGCACAGCCCGGGCTCTGGCAAAGAGAACTGTCGCTTCGGGGCGCCCTGCGGCCCGACTCCCTGGCTCTGGAGGTCCGGTGCGCACCTCCTCTCTGTTCTTCCTTTCAAAAGTACCGCTGGTGCGGAATCCCGGGGGGGTGGGACCAATATTTTGGAGGGTGCCACAGCTTTGACGCCCAAAATGTAGACTTTGGGAGGAGGCAGAAAGAGGGAGAAAGAAAAGGGAAAACTGGTTATGAATTTGGGAGTGGGGGGTGGGAGTGGGGGGGAATGGAAGGTGCGGTAGTTGATTTGGAGGGAAGAAATCTAACAGAACCGGGGGGGGGGGGCAGGGATGTTAACTCTGGAGTCTTGGAGTGCAAACGGGACGGCGGAAATGCTCTGTTGGTGTTAGTGTGGTTCCACCCGAGACTCGGGGCTAGGGCGAGAGCCTGTACAGGTGTGCATGCATGTCGGGAGTTGGGGTGCTCAGGGAACCCCACAAAAGAGGCTGCGGTCCAGGCGGACCCGGTGCACCCCTCTGCGCCCTGACAAGGGTGAGAAGTTGGGAAACTGGAGCCCCGTGGTGCGGTATGGAGGCCGGGTGCCGGGGAGACAGCAGAGAACTTTCGCCTTCGAATGAACTTTCTAGCCTAGCCTTTCTAGCCTAGCTCTGTTTCCGTCCCAAAGGTAGCTCTAGGCTGCGTCCTGACTCCCGCCTCCAGCTCCTTCCTGACTTCTCCGGCTTACAGCATCCCCCCCCCCCAACTGCCACACCTCCAGGGTTTCTCGCTTCTCTGGTGCTCCTGATCCCTGGAAGTGTTGTGGCTTTCCTCCAGCTGGTCCCTTGCACCCCTGAATCCCACGTTGGGGTTAGTCCCACCCCGGCTTGGGCTCTCTACCTCATCCTGTGACAAGATGACCACACCCATCTTTCCCAGTCCGCCCTAGTTGGCTCTAGCCAGGAAATCCCGCTGAGAGGGTAATCGGTTGAGTTCTGGGTAGCTGGTGTGGGAAGCTCTCCTCTTGTCCCAGCATGGGTGGGGGGGCAGGGTGAGGGGGAACGCAATGCTCTGGTCTACCTTGTGTGTCTCCGGGAGGGTGTTTGGCTGGGGGACATCTTTTAAGAGCTTAACTTCAACCAGGGTCAGTGGACCCAACAAACTTGTTCTGAGCCCCAGCTGGTGAGCCAGTAACATTTGGTTCACAAAGTTACCAATAAAAGGGACAAAACAGAAATAAAGCCCCAAGGCTCAGTTCTTCCGTCCTCAAAACGGGGACAGTAGTAGCCATGGGTTTACAGCACAGGTAACCTTAGGAGGGTTGGAGGAACAATCCTTACTGCTTCTGGGGTGGCTGTAAGGGCTGCGGCTGGGTGATGGATCATGGCGTCAAATTATTAATAATGATAATGATGATAATAATAATATTTAATAATAAAGCAGTTGCAGATGTGGGCTACTATGACCATTACTGAGCTGAATCCTTTTCTACCTTTGGCCATAGTCTACCATGGTCATTGTGGTGAAGTGCACCATTCTTTTGAAAACTTGTTTATTCTATTTATTATTTATTTATTTATTTATTTATTTATTTATTTATTTATTGTGTGTGAGCACGCAAGTGCCGATGGCACAAGTCCAGAGGTCCGGGGACAGCTGGATTCTCTCTTCAGAGCATGTCCTTGAGAGATCAAACTGAAGTGGTCCGGCAGGGGTGGCGACGATGTCTGTGCCTTCTGAGCCATCCTACTCCCACCCCCAAGCCCTCTGAGGGTGTCAGTCTAAGACCCGGTAGGGTGCTAAAACAGACAGGGCAGTGGGTAAAACGCTTGCTGTGTAGACGTGAGGACCCTTGCCTCTGTGTCCAAACCCTGTGGACAGACTCCAGGCTGTAACCCTAGCTCTAGAGGGAGGGGTGGAGAGAGGGCAGAGACAGGTGATCCTGACATTCCCTGGCCAGCCAGCTGAGTTAAAATGACATGGGCAGGGGAGGGGGAAGGAGAAGGACTCTGGAAATAAAATAGGTGTCTGACCTCCATTGCTGGTCTCGGTGTGCGCACAGCTGGATTGATTTATCTGAATTTGCATACATATGAGGTAGGTTTAGGGACCAGAAGGGCTGGGAATGAGGCTCAGCGCTAAAGGGTTTGCTCAGCACGCACGATGGAGTTCGTACCTGTCCTTTGTGGGCAGGTAAGAGCCATAGCCGCCCTCCATCTGGCTGGATAGGAGAGCCATCTCCTTCCAGGGTGCATTGCGGGGAGGGATGCTAAGGCCGGTGCTGAGCCCAGCTCTTAATTCACTCCACTTGAAAGGGTTAGGGTCACTCTTATCACTTCAGAAAATGGGAAGCTGAGGCAGAGAGCAGCGTCAACCTGAGTCTTTGCAAAGTGGAGCTGAGCTTCAAGCTTTGATGGGCTAGCCACTTCTTGCCCTGGCTTGGTGGGGGGGGGGGCTAAAGAGGAGGAGGACACCTGGTAAGGAGGTAGGAGTGGGAGGGTGCACAGTACATTCTGTGCCTCAGAGGCTGGTGAGGCCAGGGGGGTAGGATGGGTGTGAGGTAACCTTAGTCACTGCCCAAAGATACCGGAGAGAAACAAAAGAGCCTGTGTGGGGAGTGGGGAGGGAGGGAGTTGGAGCTGTCGGCCTCGAGAGGGGGAGGGGAAGGAGAGAAAATGGGGCCCTGGAATCTGTCTCTGAGAGGGGAATCAGGGAAGGGCAGCCTACTCTTGCCTAGAAAGGGGGCCCCAGCAGTGGTCAGTGACAGGGAAGGTAGCAGATAGGGAAGACTTAAAGAATGAATGGCCAGCTGGTCGGCCAGCTAGACTTTGGGGATTAAGTGGTTAAATCTGGAGGTGCGTTGGGCAAGCTGCCCTCTCGGCACTCGCGGAGATTGTGTTGGGCTCACCAAAGCCCTGGCTCCAGCTCGGCAGGGGTGGGAGAGAGTCACTGCAGGAGGACAGCTGTTAAGGGTGAACTCCTCCGGGGAAAGGACCGGATGTGCAGGAAGCCCAGCTTTCTGGTCACAGGATCCCCATCTTTTGAGTCATTCTCACACCTAGTGAGAGGCCATGATGCCAAATGTCAGAGTTAGCCGTGGAAGCAGGAACAGCTGCCCCAGATGCAGCCAGGTGGCCATCCCATCTCTAGGTTTTGATGTACCTTAGAGGCAAGAAGGGCTTCTGTTTCCCACTGCATGTCATTAGTGTTTGTGTGAACCAGTGCTTCTCAGCCCCTGGTGACTTGCTGGTCCCTGCTGCACAGCTAGCTATGCACTGGGGAAACAAATCCATCACGAATGAAGCAAACTGGTTGTTTTTTTTTTCTCTCTCTTTTTCTTATTTTCTACTACTGTTCCTGTCTAGTCAGGAGTGTTTTATGGTGTGGGAATGGAGACCATAGGCTCAGTTGTGTGACGCTACCCTGACCCTGGACTAAGGACTGCTGCATGCCTACTGTATGCTAGGCACTATATTGAAAAGTCTGTGTGTGTGCGCACAGTGTTTGCGTGTTAATATGTGTGAGTGTATGTGTGTGTGTGTATAGACCAGAGGCTGATGTTGGGTGTCTTCCTCTTCTTCAGTCACCTTTTCCCATTTGTATGTGTGTGTCCATGTGTGCATGTGTACGTGTGTGTGTGTGTGTGTGTGCATGCGTGCGTTCTTGCGTGCGTGCGTGTGTGTTACCCACACACACAGTACAGGTATAGAGGATCCCGGTCAGCATAGGAGTCCTTGATCACTCTCCCACTTTATTTTTAAGAGCAGGCTTTCTCATGGAGCCTGGAGCTCACTGATTGGCTACGCTGGCTGGCTATGGAGTTCCACCTATCTCTGCCTTCCCCAGTGCTGGGGTTACAGGTGTACATCCTGATGCCCAACTTTCCAACTTTTTACTCAGATGCTGAGGATCTGAACTCGGAGTCCTCATGATTGAACAGCAAGTGCTTTGGTGCCTGAGTCATCCCTTAGCCCCTGGGAGATATTTTACTGGGAACAGGCAGGCAATGGTGAAGAAGGCGGCTTCTCTGGCTACTGTAGCCATGTAATGAATTACTCCAATGCTTATTTCATTATTCCAGTGCATGCTGGGAGGTGGGAACCCAGTCAGGGTATAGACAGACATGCAGTATTCCTGCTGTGGAGTGGCTGGGTTGGGATAAGGTAATCTTCACTTACATCTGGCTGTTGAGGCTGGAGCTGTCAATCAGAGCCTTCTGCCTGGGCTCCTTCACAACATGGCAGACTCAGGATAAGATCCTGACGTGGTGACTGGTGACTCAGAACTCTTCAAAGAAGTGAACAGGGAGCCAGGAGGAAGCTGCTTTGGTTTTTTTTTTGACCCAGCTCTGAGAGTCACCTGAGTTAAGGGCAGTCCCAATCCGGTCCAGGTTACCAAAAACCCAAACAAACCCTCCGCTGCAGCTGTTCTAAGCAGAGGTGGCTTAGTTCTGAGAGACACAGGTAATGTGTGTTTTATTAGGCAAATAGCATCTTGTAGACAGCATGAACGCATCCTATGAGAGGGCAGCTCCTGCAGGCAGTGTGCTTAAAAAATATATTTATTTTATGTGTAGGAGTGTTTCCCTGCCTGTATGTCTGGGCGCCCCGTACATCAG